GCTATGATTCATAAAAGGAAAAAACTCAAAAATTAACCTTCATCAAAACCAAAAATTTTTGCCGTTCAAAACACTTTAAGAGGTTGAAAAGATAAATACTGGGAGAGAATATTTGCAAACCACATAACTAACAAAGGACTTGTAAAATTCAATAGTAAAAGACAAACAATCCAGGTAGAAAATGGGCAGAAGATATAAATGAACATTTCATTAAAGAGGATACACAGATGGGAAACAAGCCCATAAAAAGCCGATCAACATCAATAGCCATTAGAGAAATGAAAATCAGAGCCACATACCTAGCACAACAGTTTAAAAAAAAACCAAATAAGATGGCTTGGCGCCGGTAGCTCAAGTGGCTAAGGAGCCAGCCACATGCACCAGAGCTGGTGCATGCCAGCCCAGGCCTGCCAAACAACAATGACAACTACAACCAAAAAATAGCCAGGTGTTGTGGTGGGCACCTGTAGTCTCAGCTACTTGGGAGGCTGAGGCAAGAGAATCGCTTGAGCCTACCAGTTGGAGGTTGCTGTGAGCTGTGATGCCACAACACTCAGCTCAGGGTGACACCTTGAAGCTCTGTCTCAAAAAAACAAAAAACAACCCCCCCCCCAAAAGATAATATCAAATGCTGTCCAGAATGTAGAAGAAATGGATCGTTCATATACCTCTAATGAGAATGGTACAACCATTCTGAAAAAGAGTACAACAATTTTCTACAAAACTAAACACATGCTACCATGATACAAAAATTGTACTCTTTAAATTTACACTATACTCAGAAATGTACACATTTATCCTAAGGAAATGAAAACTCATGTTTACACAAAAACTTGACTGTTCATAGCTGTTGTGTTTTTAAGAGTTAAAAATCTGAAAATTACCCAGCTATCCTTCAATGAGTGAATGGTCTAACAAATTGTAGTATACTCCCAAACCATGTAAATACTACTAGCCAATAAAAAAGAGTAAACTATTCATACTCACAACAACTTGGACAGACCTTAAGGAAATTACGCTGAGTGAAGCAATTTAAATTCTAGAGGTTAAGTACTATATGACCCATCTACACAGCATTCCTGAAATGACAAGACTGTAGACAGGGGACAGATGAGCCATAGACAGAGGTTAGGAAAGGGACGAGAGGGGAAGTAGCTACAAAGGAGCAACACAAGGGGGTCCCTGTGATGAAGCTGTTCTGGGTCTGACTGGGGTGGTCACACAAATCCACATGTTAACATAAAACTGCAGAGAACTAAACATACACACAAACACACACAAAAATTAGTATAAGTTAAACTAGAGAAATCTGAAGATGTCAGTGGATTTATTAAGATCAGTGGGCTGTGTCCATGTCAATTTCTGGGTTATTTACTACATACTGACATTTACTACAGTTATGCGAGATGTTATCACTGAGGGCTGCTATTTCTCATAAATGCAACAGAATTTACAATTATCTCAAAATAAGTTTTAAAAAAATGTAAAGGACTGGTGTTCCTGAAAAAAATGTATATAACCTAAAACTAATCACAAAGGATCATAAGACATTAGACTAACTCAAATACAAAACAACTGACTTGTACTCTTCAAAAATGTCAATGCTATAAATAACCAAGTGAGAGAGAAATGACACCTGTATACAAGATACTTGTACAAAATGCTATAATGGACATTACTGAGACAGTTTTACAAAGCTTAAAAAAGGTCTATAGGTCAGATAATGTTTGATTAGTGTTAATTTCCTGATTTCAAAAATCATACTGTGTTTACAAAAGTGAATGTTCTTGTATTTACAAAATACACAATGTAATATTTAAGGGGCATCGTATCTCCAACCGTTTAAAGTATACACAGAAGTGTAGAGCTGGCGTGCATGTGGAGAGAAGGGGAACACTTTTACATTGTTGGTGGGACTGCAAACTAATACAGCCTCTTTGGAAGGAAGTATGGAGAATTCTCAAAGCACTCAAAATAGACGTTCCATTTGATCCTGCAATTTCATTACTAGGCATCTACCAAGAAGGAAAAAAAAAAACCTTTGCTCTGAATTTTTTATCTCAGCTTAATTTACAATCACCAAGATGTAGAAACAATCTAAATGCCCATCAACACAGGAATGGATGAACAAACTGTAGTGTACCACAGAATACCATTCAGCCATAAAAAACATGGTGACTTGACATCTTTCGTATTAACCTGGAGTTGAAACACATTCTTCTCAGTAAAGTGTCACAAGAATGGAAAAGTTTCCAATGTATTCAATAATAATACGAAGCCAGTAGACAATCTAATACATGCCTATGTAAGAGAAAAACTTAATTCAAGTTGGGGGGAGGGGAAAGAAGAGAGGGAAGAGAGTGATAGGTGTGTTCCCACATAATGGACACAATGTTATGGGAATATGGCACCTCAGGAGTGGTGCACAACTACAGTAGGGACCCTACCTAACAAATGCAAACATTGTAACCTAATTGTTATATCCTCACATTAATCTGAAATTAAAAAAAAAAGAAAAAGAAAAAATAAATGAAATAGGGGCAGCACCTATGGCTCAGTGGGTTGGGCACCAGCCCTATATGCCTAGGGTAGCAGGTTCAAACCTGGCCCCAGCCAAACTGCAACAAAAAAATAGCCAGGTGTTGTGGTGGGCACCTGTAGTCCTAGCCAGTTGGGAGGCTGAGGCAAGAGAATTGCCTAAGCCCAAGAGATGGAGGTTGCTATGAGCTGTGATACCATGGCACTCTACTGAGGGTGACAAAGAAATATGAAATAAAAAAGAAAAGAAATATATACAGAGGGTGCCAAAAAAACAGATACACATTTTATGAAAGGAAAAAAGTCTTAAAATTTTAGTCATATATGCCAATAACAAAAGATGAATGTAAACCACTTTTGAGTACCTCTTGTAACTGCACAAATCAAACGTGACTTGAGAATCACAATTTTTTCCTTTTTAAAAATGTGTATACATTTTCCTGGCAACCTCTGTATATATGCATACACAGAGAGAAGAAAATACAGTAAAACGTTAACAGCTGAAACATCTGAGAGAAAGGAATATTTTGCACTATTACAATTTTTTTTGGTTAATCTGAAATTATAAATAATAATAAATAAAATTATGAAAATAAAAAAACTTAAAGGTGTATAGGACACTATAGGCCCTGGCATGTAAATGTTCAATAATTTAATAATTTTCAAATATTTTATACCTATTTGCAGATGAAGAAAAAAGTTGACAAACTAAATAAACTGTTGAAGAGGACTGCTGGTAAACTAGTGGTGGGGTAGGGATTTGAACTCAGACCTGTTCCATGCCAAAGTCTGTGTTTCCTTTACTAAAATGCACAAGAATAAAAATTCTAACTCCCTCACAGGGATCTGGATGTATTACAGCAGGAGAGGACAGCATTATATAAAAACTGGCTTCAAATCATTCCCTAAGAAATTCACTGCTTAGTTTTCTACAGGAAAAGTCTAGGCCAAGGACCTAATGCCTTGACCTGGTTCCTAGGATGGATATTCTGCCCATAACACACTGAACAAACTAAGTAACAAACTGAGAAACACCCCTCCAGGCCCTTCACACTGCCTCTACTGTGTGCCACCAACCAGCCCCCACTGAGCACTGTGGATGTTCTGGATATCTAGAGATATCTTTTCTTTTTTTTTTTTGTTTCCATTTTTGAAACTCACTTTGTTGCCCTTGGTAGAGTGCCGTGGCATCATAGCTCACAGCAATCTCAAACCCCTAGGTTCAGGTGATTCTCTTGCCTCAGCCTCCCGAGTAGCTGAGATTACTGGTACCCACCACAATGCCTGGCTATTTTTAGAGAGGGGATCTCACTTTTGCTCAGACTGGTCTCAAACTCCTGAGCTCAGGTGATCCACCCATCTTGCATCCCAGAGTGCTAGGAATACACGTGTGAGCCAGCGAGTCCAGCCTTAGAGAGAGCTTTTCTTTCAGTCCCTCCTCCACCTCACCCTTACCCCCATGTCTGTGCTTAGATATGACAGAGATTTTTAAATATTTTTTCCTGAACAGATAATACACAGTTCAAAACTTACATGGGAAAACAATTTACATGGAGAAAGTTGTAAAGTGAAGTCTCCCTGCTCCCCTCTTTTAACCTCCCTCTCCAGAGATATCCAAAGTCACCAATTTAAAAACGCATCTTTAGGCTCAGTGTCCATAGCACAGTGGTTACAGCGCCAGCCGCATGCACTGAGGCTGGCAGGTTCCAGCCTGGTCTGGGCCCGCTAAACAACAATGACCACTGCAACAACAACAACAACAAATAGCCAGGCATTGTGGAGGGGACTTCCCCAGTCCCAGCTACTGGGGAGGCTGAAGCAGGAAAACAGCTGAAGCCCAAGAGTTTGAGGTTGCTGTGAGCTCTGATGTCACAGCACACCAAAAACCATCTTTATGATATTCATCCAAATTAACTGAATTGTCTAGATCATATTGTAATATTAAGGTATCTACCTAACTAGAATATGCTAAGTATTTAATAATTTTCTCTTTTAGGTATTTAAAGTATCCTTAAAATAACGATGTAGGTTTTTTCCCACATGTTAAAACATCTGAATGTTACAACTTTTTTTCCCCTCAAGTCACCCAGACTCTGAAAGTTACAACTTGTTTTTTTTTAGAGACAAGAGTCTCACTTTGTTGCCCTCAGTAGAGTACTGTTGCATCACAGCTCACAGCAACCTCCAACTCCTGAGCTTAGGTGATTCTCTCGCCTCAGCCTCCCAAGTAGCTGGAACTATAGGCACCCACCACAACGCCCAGCTATGTTTTTGTTGCAGTTTGGCCAGGGCTGGGTTCAAACCCACCACCCTTGGTATATGGGGCTGGTGCCCTACCCACTGAGCCATAGGCACTGCCCAGTTTAACTTTTTTAATAAAAAATATTTGTAAGATATATGACCATGGCAAATGTCTATGAATCATGGTTGGTAAGAACCAACCAAGAGTACTGGCAGCTCACCTGGTTCCTGTCCCGTGCATTTGTGTATCTGATCTTCTGAATGAAGTAGAATATGAGCCATGCCGAAGAGATAATCATCAAAACAATAAAGGATATTGACACGAAGACTAGAGAGCCACGGCTGAAGTTCCTTGGCGGCATTCGTGTTCCAACAGCTATTGTCATTTGTACGGAGATGTTTTTCTCCAGATAACTCAAAATATCCTTACCCCTCAGTTCTGTTATCATGACAGCAATAATATCTCCAGTGCCTGTAATGTAAAATAAATATATATACTCAAGTGACATTTAAAATTTATAGAAACATCAAATATACAGATACCTTACTTAAAAAATTACTGCAATGTTCGCTAATGGGAGGGCTTGCAGACTCAACTTCTCAGTTGAAATGACGCTGCAGCGGGGTGTGCTGGCACCACATGGGGACATGTAGTCGTTGTCAAGCAGTTAAGATTTAAACAGGCATAAGGTGTAAAACAATTGCAGTTAATAACCATATTAACTTGTCTTACAACTACATTTTGAAATAATTATTACACCAGCCAAATGTGACAATAGACTACAACATTAATACATGTACCACACAGGAATAGAAATGCGATAAAATCACGGTAGATATATGCTGTAAAACCTCTTTTATTTTTAAAATGGTTTTTGGAAAGCCCTAATCCCTTAAGATAGGAGAAAAGTGCCGTTGTTTCTAAGTACAAGTTGGTAGTACTTACACTAACCATTCTAAGAAACATTCATAGAGCACCTGCTGTATGTAGAACTAGTATAAGGAATAGAAAAAAGTCCAGGATATGGAGCTGGATAGTATCACTGAGATTCAGGACACATACCTGGCAAGAGAGCTGCAATAACCAAGTGCCAAATGCTGGTACTTTTTATTGATAACATATGAAACTAACTTTGGTCTTCTGTCTAGCTCTGACTGGAGCCAGGCTCCTTTCTAGTTCATCCCCAAACCCTTCTGGAAATCAAACTGTTGCTGAGAGGACCAAGTTTTAACATTCTGGGCTAGTTTGGCACCAAAATAGTGCCAACTTCTATGTTCTGTCAGAGGTCTGCCCACGGCCACAACTATGTAAATTAATCATGGGATGGTCTTAAGTTGCCCTTTTAGTTACTGAGTTCTTTCTGTCACATAATTTCCTGAAGCAGTAATATATTAAAAACAAGTCACTATCCCTCCTATGGATAACAGGAAATTTCTACTCCTTTCCTCCTCCACAAAAAGAAGACCTTCCCACTTTCTTCTGAGGAGACAGAGAAGCCCTTCTCCAACCTCCTATGAGCGATTATCCTTTCATAATTGAAGCTGCTTGTGGCAACACGCAACATTTATAGTTTAGCTTATTTGAAGAACTCCTAAGAGAGACTAAGGGTTAGGAGAAGAGCAATACTTTTTTTTTTTTTTTTTTTTTGGGAAAAAAGAAAATTATAACTACTTAAATTTGAAAAAGGTTTGTATATGTAACTGTAAACCACCAAAACAAAAGAAGGGAAACCCCCTAACCTTGCCCTTTCAAAGGCTTCTTCAACAAATAACAGATACTAAATATTTGATTTTTTATGTTTTACTTATTATATTTAACTAAAAGGACCATCTTTGTGTTACAAGCAGTCACAGAAGACTATATGCACCTGAAAAGAAATTCAATTTTATTTATGGAAAATGTAACTGAATAGAATATAAACCTTTTTATTATCTTATTCAAAATTGTTCTAATCACTCTGTCAGAAGAACAATTTAATAGAATACTGACTTATAATCCACAAAAAGAAAACTGCAAAATTGAAGCAAGCAATAAAGTTATCATATAATTACCTTTCTGAAATAAGAATTCTGATCAGTGAGAGAAAATCCTAAAATAATGCTAAAGCATTTTAAATTTCCATTTAGAAACCTTAAGTTTGCACTTGTAAAATGTTGTTCAACAGGTAATGTGGTATAAGATACCAGGTATGGCTATAAAGTAACTGAGACGGATCCCACAAATGACATATGACAATCAGTCTCATTGCTTTATAATCACACCAGGTACAAACAGTTTTAGAAATCAGTTCTGAGGCTCCCTCTTGAAGACTCAAGCCGGAAAAGGAGCAGGGAAAGCTGTATATGTAGCCAAGGACACCAGTCCATGTAAACTGAATGAGTGCACCCACTATTTTACCGGGAAAGCTGTTTGGGAAAAGAAATGTTTAATTATTTCAACAATCCACTCCATGATGTTTATTGAGCACATACTATGATTAAGGCTTTCATCTCTTAAAGAGACTAGAAAATTATCTACTCTTAACATGAGAAACTGCATCTGTCTTCAGGAGCACAAAGGAGCACCTTAAAAGGGACTAGAGAGAGAAACCAAACTGTGGCCTTATTATACTAGTACAGAGGATGAGGATGCCGGGGAGGGTAACAGCAAAGGACACTAAGACTGTTGATGAAAGATGAAAACAGACAGTGACAGCACACCACCAGAACACTAGCAAAGACACAGGGTTCTTAATGAATCACCCTGGGTCTCAAATCCCTTACATAATAAGGGGCTTCTCCTAGAAGAAAAGCCCCCTCCACACCCCCTTGCCCCTAATGCCTATCTGGGTTGCAAGACCCTGATTTAAGGATGCCTTAGACTAGCAGTTCTCAATCTGTGGGTCGCAACCCACAGGAACCATATTAAAGGGCCATGGCAGTAGGAAGGCTGAGAACCACTATCTGAGACACTTGACTTTTCAAGATCTGGGAAGCTTTTGGCACAAGATGTGGGAAGCTTTGGCACAAGAGGGATGTTAATGCCAGGGGAAAAGTAAGCTTTAAGATAAAACTATGGTTAATCAAGCAGTGACTGATCAGAGATGAGGATTAATTAGACTGTAATGGTTTAAACACTCAAGCAAGGATGAAAAATATTTGGGACATCTATCACCACTCCCACGTCCTAGCCCTACACAAATACAGCTAAGAAATCAAGGCTGTGGCTTCAGAATCCTATGCATTTCTACATGTCGGGTAGCCAGTATTAATTACCAGAAATGACAATGAAGTAAAAACCTAACTGTGATCTCCTACTTTCAACTATTTTCCTGAGGAACTTTCTTCATTGTTATTCTTTAGTGAGTATTTATGTTTCCAATGCTTGAGTTTGCCTACTGCAAGAATTCTATTTTTTCCCTTTTTTTTTTTTTTTTTTTTTTGCAGAGTCTGATTCTTGCAGTTTTTAGCCGGGGCCAGGTTTGAACCCACCACCTCCGGTATATGGGGCTGGCACCCTACTCCTTGAGCCACAGGTGCCACCCCTATTTTTTTCCTTTTCATTGAGAACTTTCAAGGAGCACAGAACAGCTCCAATATTATGTGAACACTCACATGAGCCTTTTAAATATGTCAACTGGTAACATTTTGTCCCCCTTTTTTTTTTTGAGACAGAGCCTCAAGCTGTCCCCCTGGGTAGAGGGCTGTGGCGTCACAGCTCACAGCAACCTCCAACTCCTGAGCTCAAGCGATTCTCCTTCCTCTGCCTCCCAAGTAGCCGGGACCATAGGCGCCTGCCACAGCACCCGGCTATTTTTTGGTTGCAGCTGTCATTGTTGTTTTGGTGGGCCTGGGCTAGATTCGAACCTGCCACCTTAGGTGTATGTGGCTGGCACCTTAGCCACTTGAGCCACAGGCGCCGAGCCTGTACTTTCTATCTGTATTTTTTTCTGAACCAATTAAGAGTAAACTACAGACATATCATTTCATCCTTAAATACTTCAGCAGTATCTCCTAAGAATAAGGTTGTTCTACATGCCTACAATCCAGTTATTCGTAACTTAAGAAATTTAACTTTGTTCTTTAATATATAGTCCATATTCAAGTATCTCTGACTAGTCTTAATGACTTTAACAATTGTTTTGTTTAGCTTTGTATCCAGGCTCAATCAGGGAATTGTGAGCGTTGTTCTAAGTTGTCACATCTCATTGGTCTCCTTTGGTCTAAGATGTTCTTCAGACACTCCATCCATCATTCATGACACTGACCTTTTTAAAGAGTCCAAGCCAGATGTCTTGAAAATGTCCTTTGATCTGGATTTTTCTGTTTCTAATGATGGGACTTCCACAGCAAACACTTCTGGTAGGAATGCTACAAGGGATGCTACTGCTTCCCTTCCCTGGCTGCACACTGGGGAGCACATGCTAGATTTCACCTTTATGGCCGATGACAAAGCATTTTATGCATTTTATGACAAGGCATTTTATGCCTTGGTTAATTTGGTATCGACCACATTTCTCCACTGTAAACGAATGGTTTTCCTCTTTTTAATTATTAAGCAATCTGCGAGCTGATACTTTCAGATTGTGGAATTAGCCTGTTCCCCTAATAAGCTTTTACTCAAATGTCTCACCATCCACTGGTGCTTGTCTCAATCTGTTTCAACAATGGCATTTGCAAACTGTGATTTTTCTAATGCTGTAATTTCTTCTATATTTTGAAAACTGATTATATAACCAGCTTCTTATCACATGCTTAGTAAATTCTATAGCTGAATGAGCTAATCCTATCTGGAATATTATTACTCACAGAAAGAGAAAGAAAGCATTATGGGAAGACAATTAAAAAGCCCCTACCCCAGTTTTGGATTCCTATTCCCTCTCTCCAATTCCTCCCCACTGCTCAGGCACCTACTGACTGTCATGTTCTGCTGACTGCTAAGATGATCAGTGTTTCAGCTCAGGAAGTGAGTACACCTAGCTGAGCTGAGTAGTGTCAGAAATCCATCTCTACCCTCTTGTCTTCCCTCTACCCTGTATAGGAGTAACTCTCAGGGCAAGCCTTTGTGGCTGGAGAGCTATAAAAGAAGATCCAGGAAGAGAACATATGAGCTGAGGTGTCAGGCTGTAAGTAGAGATAGATGTTTTTACTATAAGTTTTACTATAAGCTTACCTGTTTTCTAAGATGACAATATCCCTATACAAAATCCCATTCAGCAGAGGTTTTATGTCTTAACAGATGAACTTGTCTGTTAAGTTCAAATCCCTGCCAAAGTTTTGAGGAATTTCAAAACTTGGAAAGAGATATAATTTTAGGAAATAGCCTATAAAGAGTCCAGTAGAATGTTGCATTCTTGCATTAAGTGTATGCACTGATACTTTTATAACTCCTGGTAAGTAACTAGCAATGGTATTAGAGTTATTCTTACAAAATTCAACAACCTATTTATACGTAAAGCAGAATACCAAATCCTTTAAATTCCAGAAGGATTG